AGCAATTGAAATTCGTTATTTTAAATGGAATTGCACAGATAATTCATGTGATTGTGGAGAGATGTCTCAAAATAATCCGAAAGATTTAAGAATACTCATGTGGTGGAATTAATTGTCGGTTTTATGAAGAAACAATTGTTCGTTTTAGTTTTAACTTAATTGTAATATTGTTATTGTGCCTAAAATTTAGCTTATTCACAATACTGTCATCACCTTTTGTCCTTGTAATCAAACAAAATTCATTAAGTGTTTTTAGATAGATAAAAAAAAAAAAAAAATTGAGATTTTTTTCATTTGTGACAGCCCGTTCCGGGAATTTTTAAAAATGTACGCATGAAAAGACGATTTTACCCCTAGGGAGATTTTTCGTCGTGTGGTTATTCTTTTGGGTTGGTGTGGCTGGTTTTGCACCACACACTCTTCCCCACACTCACTCTCACCTTTCCCCTATCCCTGCACCCTGTCCCGAGCTCCCTTTCCTTCCCATTTCCCATACAACGTACGGACACACACACAAACACACCAAATCATCATAGATCGAAGAAACAAAGTACGTATCCATGCTCGTGAGGCTCGTAGGAGTCCAACCATACCCATTTCAGGTAAGATTACCTTCGTTTTCACGTTGAACTCGAGATACCCGATTTTTGGCACTGTTCATGCACACGTAATTTCTCATGTTTTTGGGAATTTCAAGCTTGTAGGAAGCTTGGTGAGGTCCCTAGGAGGCTCGGGGTGGTTCGTTTGAAGGTTTTGGACGTCGGGATTGTGAGTTTCGAAGTTGGCCGGAAATGGTGGAGTTTTCCAGGTGAGATTTCGTGGATTTTAGCACTTGAAAGTGGTATGATTTTGTTCCTCTCGTTGAAAGCTTCATTTTGGTACCAATTTTGTGAAATTTGGTTGAAAAATGAAGAAGTTAGGACGATTTGAATTTTTCGCGATTTTCCGGCACCGGCGACGGCGCCGGAGTCTCGCCGGAGAAGACGACGGAATATTCCGTCAGTTTGGACGGAATATTCCTAACGCCGTTGACGGAAACCGTTAAAGATAACGGAATATTCCTGACGGCGTCAACTGACGCCGTCAGCGTGCCAGGCACGTGCCTGCGCGTGGCCGGCGCGTGCGGCGGTGAAATTTTTTCCTAAAAATATGGGGATGTTCCTGAGGTTGAGTAAATCACGTTGGTGTATTCATACACCCCATTTGAGCAATGTATGAGAAGTTATTTCTTAAGGTTGGTTATGTGCTTTAAAATTAACGTTTTTATAGTTGTTTCGCATATAGGTGAGACGTATCCCGAGGACGAGCGTGGTCACTCGAGGTAAGGGAGTTACGACCCTTCTACTTACCAGTGAGTGGGCTTTTGGTTTTCCGTATATACCTATATACTTATACGTTTCCCAGAAAATGAATTAAAAATGTTTTTACATTATTATGCCATGTTTATTGGTTGTCATTCGTTTATGCATTATTGGTCATACATATATACATATGTATTGGTGCCGTGGACGCACAGGTAAGTGCCAGGTGAGTATGATTTTACATTTACGTTCAGTAGTGATTCTAGATACATAGAGAGCTCATAACCTGCACCCCCGGTGTTAGTGCTCCCGCCCAGAGTTGGGCACAGTCCTTCACGTGATGTTCACCTCCCGCACCACACGCTCATCTTGGATCCAAGTTAGGTGCACAGGCTTGTCGTACAGACCACTTTAGGTGGTTCCGACTCGTAGGTGACCCGCGATTACTCGTCCAGCCTTCACGTGATCGTAGCACTAGAGCGTACTTATATTACACCAGGCGTGTCGTACAGACCACTTTAGGTGGTTCTGACTCGTGTGCAGGTCTAGCTAGTGAGATGGAGATTTGAGCTCTAGATTCAGCCGTACAGGTCACATGAGGTGACTCCGGCTAACAGATTATGTGACATTGATTTGTTATTACCCGAGCACTTGCATTTTATTTTGAGGTTTTGGCACAGCTTATTCCTGAGCCTGATTTATATATATATATATATATATATATACTTTATTTTTTGGGAAGTATACAGGTTTTACGGCGAGGGGTTAGAACTTATTTATTAAATTGGTTTTCGAAAAGCTTTGTTTTTTCCCACTCACGCTTTTGTTTTGCGCCCCTCCAGATTCTAGTTGGCTAGCACGTTTGGTGGCTTCCGTGAGGACTTTCTCGGCATATCTGACAGACCACCACCAGTGTAGGACCACCTTCGGGTGTGCTTTTGTTGTGTCGTTTCCTTTTGGATTGCATTAGGCTTGTATGCTCTGAACTTAGGGTTCATACTTACGCTTGCACTTGTTTATTATTACTTGGTGTAAAGCTAGTTTTTATTTATTCGTACTATTTATTATTATTTTATTAGCTTCCGTGCACATGGTTACGTCACTTCCACGTGACGGCCAGCATGCCCTGATCTCGATCGGGGTGTGTCATCATTAGCTTTTCTTTATGTAAAAGATATTAAAAGAAAAGAGAAATTGAACTCCTTACACTATAAATAAGAATTAGGACCAAAGTCATCCTTCTGCAAATTGATGCTTAAGACAAGAATGAATGAGGCTTTCCTACTGTAATACTTTAATATAATTCCATTTAGCAAACAAGTGAAATTGGAAACTTTTTGACCCAATTTACCGATCATCTTCACGTTAATACAAATTTGAGAGTATAGTCTTTTTTTCTTTTTGAACTGATATATTCAATCCCCTATATCTTCACATTATGTAGTCTACTAGTATCAACCCCCGTACATTTTTACATGTCTTCTCCTAGTATTTGACCCGGTTTCAAATAGTATTTTATTCTTTTACTATATAACAAACATGTGAAATTAAAATTGAAGATCTCTGTCAAAACTGAAAAGATAAGTGTTATGACCAAGTCCAACCCGTGAACCCAAATTCAAATATTTGGATCCACTAAAAGACAAAATTTAGCTTTGTAAACAGTGAACGTCACCCAACCCTCCAGACCTAAGTTTTAGAACTTAAAATGTATTAATTATTTTAGAGAAACTTTGAGTTATGTTTTCTTTCTTAATTTAGTTTTACGAATGTTTTAACCTAAAAAAATTTAAATTACGACAAGATTTCCAAAATGGAACAAACTACACCAATCAACCACCAACCAACCAAACTTCAATGTACGCATCAACCGACCAAACTTCAATGTACGCATCAACCAACCAAACTTCAATACACTACCAAATATGCATATTATTTGATCGTTGAATTTAAATTTCAGTGTTGGATCATTTTTACCATTGGATTTGACAAAAACAAATATAGATTTTTCGATCAATTTTAAAGGATTGCCCAAAAAAGGGAGTTTGATTTGGACCATTGATAACCAATGGTCCAAAAATCGAAAGGCCACATTTACTGTTGGACAACTGAGTTCCCTGCCATGTGGGGGCTAGTTGTCGGTCATATCAGCCAAATTTGAACTCAAAATTTGATTTTGATTTAGGTCCAAACCCTTTTTTTTTTTTTTTTTTTTTTGGTATGAGTCTTGTCTTTAGGTGGCAAATTTTTGTGTTTAAACCCAAATATTTGAGTTTGGGTCCAAGGGCTAGAGTTGGTCTAATAGATCAAAAACTAATTCTTTGAAAATAGATATGTGGGACTATAATTTTCACCTCTCTAGAACACAACATGTCCACATCTTAGCCCTAATACAATGACGTCAAAGGAGAGGGGAAAATGAGAAGGAAATTCCGGAGGGTAAAGAGAAGGAAAAGGAGAAGGGAAATGTAGAAAAGGAAGGGGTGGGAATGAGACAAAATTCCGGAGAATAGAGAAAAGAAGGGGAAAAAAGAGAGGAAATTTCGGAGAATAGAGAAAAAAGAGAAGGGAAAAGAAGAAAAGAAGAAGAAGAAGAAAAAAAAAGGAGAGGGAAGCTTCGAAGAGTAGAGGAAAAGAGGGAAAAAGAAAAGAAAAAGCAAAGTCACCTCCATCATTATGTCTATTAACTGTTACCCATTTTCTTACAAATGGGAGTGAGAGACTGAAAAAGAAAGAAAAAAAAAAAAAGAAACACATGACCAAACATCTAGAAAATATACAAATACGCCAAAGGAGAAATTGCTCCCAGTTTCCCTTGTTTCTTACGTTCTAAATTATATTTCGTGTAAAGAGAAACCAATATTGCTACTCTGAAGATGTTGGCACAACTTGCCGAATCTCGTAAATATTGTGTTTTATATACATTTCTCGTCACTTTATATATTTTGTATAAATGTGCAACATATGTTCCAACAAGATTCTTACGTGTAGCTCAAACATTAACAAAAAAAAATGTTTACAAAATCTACTTGTGCGCAATGTGATTTGGTTGACGAAAACAAGTCTATCAAGTGTTCGACGAAATGCCTCAGTGAGCAAATTGATTTTTTTTTTTTTTTTTTTTTGCATGTTTCGCTCTCTATTGTTATCTAAAAATTTGAACCTAACACTGGAACCCTAAGATTTGAATTCTGGACTAGCCACTGCTGCAAGTGCTCTCTTTTGGTCCAGCCTATAACTATAGAAAAATCATAGCACAACAATTCGATCAACCACCTTAAGTTTAACCATCCATGTACCCAATTCAAGTTATTCCAAACTTACCTTATGAAAGTAACTAAACATTACTGCCACATTATTATGCGGTTCTATTAAGTTCTAATTTTTATCTCATAACCATATCATCTTTAGAACAATTGATAACACTAGTTGGTGGATTGACGATTCGTAGAAATGGCTTCAACATTTCAATGACGAGAAATGAGTATGGAGCACCGATCAAAACGTGCTGTGTTCTATCACAAAAAATCTGAATGCAATTAGAAATGCATTTTATCACAAAAAGATGAGCAACCATCAATATAAATTGTAATTTATAAAATCACATATAAAACAAGAAGTACTCTTTCCTTTGTTCTTGGCATCTCTGCCACTAGTGGCCGACCAAGACTAAAAGAAATGCTTTTTGGGTCAATGCATGTGAACGACCCATTTTATAATTGTTGATAAATTTTTCTGGGAGTAGATAGGAATGACCCAATTAAATATTTCCCCTCCACACGGACACTTGCAATGCAGCTAGCAAAGAGCTGTTTGTCCATCGATCCACATCAATGGCTGGTGTGAGAGCATCTCCCGGAACCTCCTCTGATTCCAACACTTTTGGGGGTTACGGATACGACGTGTTCTTGAGCTTCAATATCGAAGAAACTCGCAAGACTTTTATTGACCACCTCTACACAGCCTTGAACAACGCAGGATTTCTCACGTTCAGAGACGATGAACTTGAGAGAGGAGAAGATATAAAGCCAGGACGGCAGAAAGCGATCCAGCAGTCACGAACTTCTGTTGTCGTGTTTTCGAAAGATTACGCGTCATCCAGATGGTGCCTTGATGAGCTTGTTGTGATCCTTGAATGCAAGAGGACCACCTCGGACCATGTAGTTGTACCAGTCTTCTACGATGTCGATCCGTCCGACGTGAGGAAGCAGACGGGAAGTGTTGGAAAAGCATTTGCTATAAGCCAGAAGAATCAGTCGCCGGAAAAAGTGGAGGGATGGAGGAAGGCACTTGCAGAGATTGCAGATCTAGCAGGCAGGGTCTTACAAAATCAAGCTGATGGGTAACTTTCATTATCTCCATTTCTCTTCTCTTTCTTGAGTCAATTTGATGTATGATCCGTAGTGACCTAGATTTTTATATATTTATTAATTCAATCTCAGTAGTGAATAATAATCCCAATTTAGGTCAACTTAAAGAAATCACACTTGAATCAACTTAAGGATTAGTCATTTTCCATGTTAGTCTACTCATTTGCAGTTGCTTAAATTTTTTCGAAAGTAGTATGGAAAAAAATTAGGATGTGATATTTGTCCATAGTTCGTATAAGTTATACGCTGTATTCCTTTTGTTTTTTCAATTTAATTTTGTCAGCAGTCCTCTTTTTTTTCTTATTTAAACAAAGGCCATCAACATATGTTTTAATTATCTAATATTCCCAATACATATTTCATTTTGTTTGCAAATTCTTAGGAACGGATCAAAGTTGATCAAAAAAATTGTTAAAGTGATTGTAGACAAGATACGTCGCACACCATTGAGTGTTGAACCAAAATTGATTGGAATCAAATCTCAAGTCAAACACATCAATTTGTGGTTACAAGATGGATCAAGTGATGTTGGTATACTTGTTGTGTATGGCATGTCAGGAATAGGGAAGACAACCATTGCAAAATATGTTTACAATTCAAATTTTATAAGCTTTGGAGGAAGTAGTTTCATTGAAAATATCAAGGAAAGAGCAGATCGACCAAATGGCTTAGTTCAAATACAAATGCAACTTCTTTCTGATATTTTGAACGGTAGAAAAGTGAAAATACAGACTGTTAGTGAGGGAATAATTAAGATTGAAAGCGCCATAAGCTCTAGAAGAGTTCTACTTGTTCTTGATGATGTGGACCATATGGACCAATTAGATGCAGTACTAAAAATGAAAGATCAGTTTTATCCTGGAAGTAAGATACTTATAACAACCAGGCGTGAAAGATTGCTAAAGGCAAATCAAGTTACAAAGGTGTACAAAGTTGAAACTTTGAATTACAATGAATCACTAGAGCTTTTCAGGTGGCATGCTTTTGGCCAGGATCACCCCCTTAGAGGTTACATGGAATATTCAGAAAAGGTTGTACACTATTGCAACGGACTTCCATTAGCTCTAAAAGTTTTGGGTTCTTCTTTATCAAGGAAAAGTATAGGTGTATGGGAAAATGCATTGGAGAAGCTAATAGTTATTCCTAATGGTGAAAACATGAATAAACTAAGAATTAGCTATGACAGTTTACAAGATGACCATGACCGAAAATTATTCCTCCACATTGCTTGTTTCCTAATAGGAAGGGACAAAAACTACATTGTTAGAATACTCGATGGATGTGATTTCTATACAAATGTTGGCATTCAAAATCTCATTGATAGATGCTTGGTGACAATTGATAAATACGGCAAGGTGAATATGCATGACATGATTCGTGACATGGGAAGAGAAATTGTCCGCCTGGAATCAGAAGAGCCTAAGAAACGTAGTAGATTATGGTGCCACAAGGATTCTTTGGAAGTACTGAGGGAAAAGAATGTAAGAAACATGCTTTTAATGTCTATATATGTATTTCTTCTTGTGAAAATTATACATACTAACGTTTCCGTTTTTTCCTTTAGGGTACAAAAAGAATCCAAGGTCTTGTCTTGGATATGCGTATGCATCCTGCACACAATCCAATAAACACAAATGAGACAATCTTGGAAACCAATGCATTTAAAAAGATGCACAAATTACAGCTACTCCATCTTAGTGATGTAATACTGGATGGATGTTATGCAGATTTCCCTACAGGATTAAGTTGGTTGTGTTGGTCTCAATTTCTATTGGATTCTATACCAATTGATTTTCCTTTGGGGTGTCTAGTTGTTCTTGAAATGCAATACAGTAGTTTGAGACAAGTCTGGAAAGGAACAAAAGTATGTTTACGCATTTTCAATTCAGTTTTTTATTTTTTGACCAATTGCATATGTTAAACTTAACTCTCCCACATTTTTTTCTTTCTCTGTTTTTATTTTATACAGTTTCTTCCATCGTTGAAGATCCTTGACGTCAGCCATTCCCATGCTCTCACTGAAATAATGGACTTCTCATTTTGCCCCAATCTAGAAGAACTGATTCTTGTAGATTGCACAAGCCTGATTTATGTTCATGAATCCATTGAAGACTTGAAGAGACTTGTGTCCTTTAATATGAAGGATTGCAAGAATCTTAGGATGCTTCCAAAGAACATGTGTTTGCTTGAATCACTTGAAACACTCATTTTATCTGGTTGCTCAAATCTTGATGAGTTAGCAGTGGAGATTGTAAAGAAGATGGGGTCTTTGAAAGTTCTTGAAATAGTTGGAACTCCATTAAGTGAATTATGGCCACAAAGAAGTTCAACTATCGTGAGTTCTTTTCCATGCACTCTAGTACATGTTAGTCATTGATCAAATGGAACTACATGTTAGTCATTTTTGCTTCATATTTCCTTCATATTTAGGCTTTGATCAAATGGAACTACATGTTATTCATTTTTTCTTTCGGGGTTTTACAATTTTCTTCAGGTTATAACTTTTGATGTAACCAACTTGCGATGTTTCTGTCAAACTATGTGGAGATAATGTAATTTTTGACATGTTTTATTAATTAACAACATGGTATTGAATTAAGGGAGATTATATTCACACACCAAATTACTTTTCCCACACCCTTTTATTATTTTTAATATTTTTCTATCAAGTGCTAGTGGTGTTCAAAAAATATTAAAAAATTAAAAGGGTGTGGGGAAGGAGTGTGTGAATATAATCTCTCTTGAATTAATCCCACCAAAATGGGTAAACTACATGGTATGACTGAGAAATCAAAGTCAACTCTGTTTAAATTTGGGGGACAAAAATGTAGTTTAGCCTTTTCGTTTGCGGAATTGTTGGTGGATCGCTTAATTTTTAATTGAACTCATTCATTGCTAATTTATTATGCAGACAAATTCAGCAGAGTGGATCTTTTTAGCCACTAGCCTTTGCATGGAGATTTTATCAGCTGCTTGTGATCAGGCTTCGTCCCCAAGTGAGCCTCGGTATGCGCTGTTCGGTATGCTCTTGGCTTTTGCAGCTCTACTCACTTGCATATGGGAGCTGATTTACAAGGGCATGAAAAAAAATGTGGTATGGGGGAGGAGGGGATGTCACATGCTTTTTGGTTCTGATATTGAACTTTTTGTGTTAGCCGGAGGCATTGCTCAGTGTGTTTGCTCGATAATTCAATACATTTATTACGTCCGGCATGCTGATAATCCTATCAAAATGTCCCTTTTGCCTGCCATCTTTGTCATATGTTTGATAGCTACGAGATTAAGCAGGGAACGGATGCAAACCACATATGAGACCGGTGAACATACAGCTTAGACAAAGAGTGATTGGTAAGATGTGCTCGTTTGTTTGTAGCCTAATCATGTTTCATAAAAGCATACGGAGAATTATGCTGTCAGTATGAATGAAGATTCTCTATAAACATTTGTGTAATTTGTTAACAACTTAGCCGAGGTTCGTCCTCCAGACACAGGACCAGGCAAGAGTTTCAGAAACTTCAGGTTTGACGTAGCTCCAATCTTGCAATCAATTGATGCTGGTTTCCGTTCTCCACTGTAACTTGCTTCTTGTAAAGTGGTTCAAGTCTGCATAGCTGGGTTAATATCCCCATTTGGTTTGTATTCCCAAACACGAGAGTTGCCCTTCATGTCAGATGTCATCGTTGTTGGTGTTATATTTTCAGTTGTGGGTTTGTATATTCTGTATAGAAAACCCACATATGGCAATTTGAGTCGATGATTGGTTCCTTCATTGTATCTCGAACTGAAGAATTGCATATGCATATATAACTCCATTTTGTGCTTTCATAATAACTAAATTGAATAGATATTGAAAATTAGCGTCGAGCTAGGATGAAAATGGCACAATATCCACGTCGTATTGAGATCAAACTGTATTCACAGTGTCTGCAAGGTACCGCAATATGCATCCCAAACCAGCTCTCTCCGTCAGTATTTCATGAATCCGAAGGCGCAGTTCGCATGTGGACCGATCTCCAGTAGACAATCCTCTATACAAGTACCTTCAATGAGAGAAACCCCCAAATTGTAAAATGTCCTAAACAACAGCATATACCAAAGATGAGGAAAAGAAAGGCCGGAGAACTTTTCTTATAGGAAAAGGAAGAATAATAAAGATAACTAAGGAGAAAAACATCAAGAAGTCGAAATCACAAACTTAGAAGAAAAACTATGCATACCTAATATTTTCTAAAACTTTGGGGTAGAATACTGGCTTATATGACACTGCACCAAAACCGTACATATAACAAACTTCATGAGAATGTCAATGTACTCGGGATCCAAAGAAGAAAACATTGCATCCACATCTTTTATAGCCACAATAGCTCTATGCACCATTATCCAATTTGCAGACTGCAAAACTCAAAAAAATAAATCTCACCACCTTCTTTCATTCCACACCAAACAGACCAATTGAATTATAATTAAACACAGGGTGACAATTCTGATTGGTACCCAAGAAAACCACTGGAAAAACGATAAGAAAAGAAGAGTAAAGTTCTAAACTTGCAATTCAATTTTCTATTCCATCGACTGACAAACCTTGCAGCGCTCGTCTTTGGTGTCGAGAGGCGAGCCTTCGAGAGCAGTTTTTAGAGCTTCGACTGTCTTGTACCTAGATGAAAAACGGATCAAACAGTCAAGGTTTTTGGGTAATTTTCAAATCATTAAGGGGCTGTCCACAAAATTGTATGTAAAAAAGGGGAAAGGATTTGGAGTGATACTGTTTGATAAGCTCTCGATCTTTCGAGATTTTTGTTCGATTCTGCTCTCTCTCTCTCTCTCTCTCTCTCTCTCTGATTTTCTCACCTGGCATTTGGAAAAGACTTGAGGAAACATGTTCCCGAGAAAGTGACACGGCAGGTGGACCAAACTGTATATTGGGCTGGATCCTAGGTCGGCCCAAATATGGCCTTGAATTCAGACCATTTGATTGTCTAAATTTTTGTTAAATTAGTAAATAAATAGTGTGAAAAAACTATTTAGTTACTCAGTTTAAATTTTTTATCTTCAACAACGCCTTTATCTTGTCAAACTTTAAATATTTTATTATTAACAATTCAAACCCAACCAACTCATTTTCCAAAACATAACACTGTTTTTTAAAAAAAAAAAAAAAATCAGATACAGTGTTGGTTTTGTCTATGCACAAACAAACATTGTATCTGGAAAGAAAAGAACAAAAATCCAGACACAGTGACTTAAATTCCAAAAACAGTGATTTGGATTTCATAAACAATGAAAGAAAAGAAACGGTCAAATGTTAAAACATAGACTGTTTCTTTTCTTTCATTCATCAGTTGATTATATTTAAGAAATAGAGTGCTTATTTTTCTTTGAATCCAAATACAGTGATTTTCATTATTTCTTTTATAGCTTACATGTAAGAAACAGTGTGTCTATTTCATTTGGATCCAGAAACAGTGACTTAGATTCCAGAAACTGTAACTTAAATTCCAGAAACAATGACTTAAATTCCAAAAATAATGTTACTTAAAATCCAAAAACAATTTATTTTTACAGTCCAGAAACAATGACCCTGTCATTATTATTGAATAGCATGCACATCTCAAATTTATTTTTTGGAGAAACAAACGATGAACTCCACTGACGAAGAAAAATTGAAAAACAGTTGCTCGAATACACTATGAATAATAACGACGATTACATTTCAACAAAATAATACAAAATATAAATTAAATAGCATGATGATCTATATTTTTATTTCAAAGAAAAAGAAGAAGTTCTGCAAAACAATGATGAATTCCATTAATGACGATACTCTGGAACTCAACCTAAAAAAGTTTGGGGTAAAATCGACAAATCATAATTTATTATAGTTGGGCTATTTTTAGTTGGGTTACTTTAATATGGGTCTTGTAATAATCATTAAACAAAACTTATAACAAGGTTTTTTTTATTAAAATTAAAACTTTTCAAGCCCTTTTTATAAGTTTTCCTATAAAAATATCCATAAAAAATTAAATTTTTTATTTGTTTTGTCAAAAAAAAAAAAAACCTTTATCAATAGGAACATTTTTATACATTAAAAATATCCAATAAATAGTCAGTAAAACACATATGCTTTGATCAATGTTGTTCCTCTCACGCTTAAAAAAAAAAAAAAAAAAAGCAACCAATGAAACTAAATAACAATTCAATTTAATGTTAAATGATTTTGGTTCGCATATACATGCAAAAATTTCAATTTCATTAGGTAGTGATTTGTTTCTGTCTATTAATTATTTTTAGATTTATTCAATCGTACGACTCGATGTAACGGAATGAACATTGGAGGAAAAGCATAATGTGAAAAATCGCTTATCTTTCAGTGCCCTGTACAAGAAAAAAAAAAAAAGCCCTTAAAAAGCATAAGAGAAAAACTCTCCCTCTATGTGTATGATCAAATTTGTATACCCATGACTCAGGTAGTTTGCATTGCTATTTGCTTAGGTGCTCAATGAGCTTTGTGTTGCACCAAATTGCTTTTATTTCAATCAAGACGGTGTCGTTTACATTGTTCCACCAAATTGCTTTTGTTTTGTTCTTTGATCAAATGACCTCCAAGCCCCTACATATAAGATCACCACTCCACAAAATCCGGTAAATCAAAACAAAACAGAAGGCCAATATTGACATTCTAAACAAACGGTCATAATTATCGACACCCCACTTCTTAAATTCCTTTTCCCTCTCCTCGCACACTTCTTTCCACTCTTTCTTCTTCCTTGCTTTCATAGTCTTCCTTTGCTTCACACAAAATCCAAAACCTCCGCAGAAGCTCAACTGCTCATCAATGGCGGACTCCATCCCCTGCAGAAAGCCCCACTTCCCATTCTCCGATCCAAATCCAGAAGCTCACCGAAACCCGATTCGACACGGTAAGTCCTACACTATGCACTTTCTCCTTAAAGCTCTAATCTTTGCCGTTTTCATCGTCGTTCTTCCACTTTTCCCCTCACAAGCTCCCGAATTTATCAACCATACGATCCTCACCAAGTTCTGGGAGCTCATTCACGTTATCTTCGTCGGCATTGCCGTATCCTACGGCTTGTTCAGCAGAAGAAATACTGCTGAAATGGGGTTTGAGAATAGCTCAAATGTGGGTACTTCTGAGTCTTATATGCCTACAATATTCCCCGTTTCGTCGAATTTCGACGGCGGGTGTGAATACCCATGTGGATATGGTGAGAAAAGAGAGGGTGAGAGTTGGAATTCTGGGTATTTTGTGGGTAACCCTGTTGCTGCTGTGGCTCAATCTTGTCATGAAAGCAATGTTTTTTATGCCCAATGCAAACCCAGTTTGGGGATTTGTGAAAGTGGGGCTGCAAATTCATGTGGGTATAAAGAGAAAAATGTTACTCAAGCTTTGAATTCTCAGTATTTTCAGGGTGAATCAATGGTGTTTGTAGCTCAACCAAATTATGGTCTTGATGAATGGGGAAACCCCAGATCAATGGTTGTTAATCGGCCTTTAGGATTGCCGGTTCGGAGTTCGAAATCGAGGGTGAAAAACAGGGATAGTTTTGAGTTTGTTGCTAGGAGTGAGTTCAGTTTAGGTTCTAAGGGCTCTTTAAATAGCTCTGATGGGGTTAGGAATGAGGATTTTGGTGATTTGGGTGCTATAAATTTAGAACAGAAGTTCAACGAAGCTGCTGCATCACCATCCCCGGTTCATTGGCGTTGGCGTTCTGCAAGGATGGAAAGGGGGAAAAGAGTAGGTAGTAATGCTCGTCCTACGCGTTTGAGGCCACTCTCAGTTGATGAAACTCAGTTTGAATCAATGAAAACTCGGTCTTTCCAGCCCACATTGTCCTTTACTTCCGAGTCTTAATGACATGTGGGTCATGTGATGATTATAACATTTAGAGATGGATGATTTAATTTATCTAATATGTTTTACGAGTTGGTTATTACGGATTAGAGACTTAGTTAGCCTCCCTATATTTGATTAATTAAGTAGCATTGCATTTACTTTGGACAAACAAGATAAATAAAAAGTAACAAATCCCATGAAATACAAAGACAAAACCAAACCACACATGGATCATAGTGGAATTCACAATTGGACGATTACACATGCGGCAGCTAACATGCACGTGGGGAAGCTTAACAATAGAGGACCAAGACCCTCACGTGCTAATCATAGTGCTTAAACATTTCATTACCAATTTGGTTTTACGAGAGACTTATTAGAGTATCTCTAATGCAAAGACTCAATTTTAGACAATATTTTTATATTTGGATCATAAAAGGTGATGTGTTTGGATCTTAAAAACTCAAATTCTAGAACTCGTTTTGAGTTTTAAAATTTGTGTCCTTGCACTAGAGGAGAAGATATTGGATTCAAAATTCATACTTGAATTTTAACAATTTGGTTGTGTATTGGAGATGATTTGACTCACATCTCATTATTCTTGGTTGAGTAACAATTTTCTTAGTTGGCATGGGGCTCCACTTTCAACTCAAATTGGGTCTGCATTCCTGCTTTTCAATCAAATACCGCATTGTTTTTTTTATCTCCCAAGTCACGGGGACAAACACATAAAATTCCAGCCACTTACAATTATAGTTTTAAAAAATTCTCTCTTTTATATATCTAGATAATTATTGTTTGATTTTTTTTTTTTTAGTTGTAGTTTTGGTTTAATTTGTCATTTTTGTGGTGATTAAGAATCCAGAGCTTCTGAGGTTTGCTTATTTTCTATTTTTAACTTATCCTTGGGTAAGCACTTTTGATGAAATTATGTTTTTGCTCCGCTTTTTGGTATTTTTAGGCAATTGAAGTTGAATATGGAGAAGGTTTTGACATATTTAGACCTGTTGGACTCTCAAGTTTGATGTGGTAATTAATTTATTGAGTTAAATGTTTATTAGTCAAATTGTGTTTTATGTTATGTTGGATATAATTCACTGATTATACTTTATACTGCCATGACTTACTACTGTTAATTTTTACTTCGAGTAGGATTTTTTGTACGATAAAGTAAAAGAAGATTTTCTTAAACGAAAAACAATATGCCATGAAAACTGATGATTTAATTGCATAATATTGAGTTTTTTTCGGTTAGGGATTTCGAGTTTTCTGCCAAGTCTCTATCTTATTTTTAGTTGTTGAGTTGCAGGTAATACTTTATGGTCAATGTGATCCTATATCTATTTAATTAATCAAGTCACATCGGGGCCATCCAAAAAGAAAATTGAAGTAAACACCACAAACAACCCAAAATTTGCTCAAATGTCGGCATCCATCCCAAACAACGAATTTGTAGTTTTGTACCTCATTTGGGAGTTAATATAGCACATGAGAAAATTGTAAATTCCATGGGACATTTAATTCCAATGAATATATAAATGGGTCCTCATATTAGTATAGAATTACAGTTAACCACAATTATATGCAATCAGTACCTTTCCCTTTGCAGTGTTCTCCCCCACAGGAACCTGCACATCAATAACTCCTGTTTAAATTACTAAAAAACCAATCTTGTTATGATGTTAAAAATATGAAGCACAAATGTATCTGAGCATGCACGTGAGACCTTGGAAACTGTGAAATTTTCATTTTTTCAATTTAGATATAAGAGTTAATGTATTGCAGTGCCAAATACAGCAACTGCTAATTTCCACATGACCACATCTGCATCTGCCCAACCATTCTGCTTGGGTCTTTTAAATAAGAAGCAACTTGTTCACTAATATTCTGCATATTGCTCCGCATTATTTAGCTCTATGTCTTCATTCTAATTAAGCATCACAAGTTCATAATTAAGTATAAAAGGATTGTGAACAGAAGTCTCTTACCATTCCGCGATTCTTAAGATGTTGATTGGAGTCTTCTCCAGGTGCATCTCTCTCTCTCTCAGATAAATATGTCATTGGAATTGGAAAGAATTGACTAGTTAATGTTATGGTGTCCGTATTACATAAATAGGGATTGCATCAACATGATATATTCAACACATTTTTTGCTGGGAACGGCCAAGAGGACACAAGTTTGGACCGTAGGAGAGGAAACCGCGGCTTGGAAAGACCTTTCGTCAGTAGATCCGTAGGCTGACCCAAGGATGGAATGACTTGTACTTTATGTGTGCCAAGCTTAACATGTTCGCAAACAAAATGATAATTCAACACAATATGCTTCGTGCGAGCCTAAAAAACTGGATTAGCTACCATGTAGGTGGTGCTGAGATTAGCACAGAAAATATAAATGGGCGTTGAAATCACACATTGGACTTCACGATGTAAGTAGGAGACCTAAAGGGATTTAGTACAAGTGTGAGCAAGAGCACAATACTCATACTCCACACTAGAACGTCGTACAATAGGCTGCTATGTAGAGCTCTAGGAGATGAGATTGGGGCCAAGAAAAAGAATATACCTAGACGTGGACCGACAAGTGTATGGATGACTAGCCCAATCTGCATCAGAGTAGACACGTAGAAACAAGTGGACCATAGTGAGGCCGAAACTAAGACCAAGTCTAACGAACCCTTTTAACATAATGAAGAACACATTTGGCAGCAACCAAATGAGTCATACGAGCCATAAACTAAGCAATATGATTGACCGCAAAGGCAATACTAGGATGAGTTAAAGTGAGATATGTAAGTGACTTGAGAAGGTGACGAAACTCAGTGGGATCAGAAAGAGGAGTACCAACCTGATTAGGAATCTGTGACAATGTAAAATGGCGTTTCATGAATTTACGTTGCAGGGCATATTGTCTTAATGATTTGATTATGATCAAATTGATTGCAATATATTTATGTTGAATCATACATTCTATTTATTGAAATAATAATTGTCATTATCATTATAGTTTGCTATCTGCCGTTGCATATGGTGGTTTATCACAAGCATCGCCTTGCAGTGCATCATAACCTGGGATAGAAGCACTTTGCTTTTCTCTACTTTCTTCCAGTAATTAGGTATACAAGTAGTTTTAGATCTTCAGTTAAATTTCAAGCCATTGTCAACCTTTCAGTATAAAATTGCAGAGTTTGCTTTATCAATTATCAATTTCAACTTTTTTCCTTTCAATTTTGGGTGAAATGTTTGTTGGTAGTATGATTATAATCCTTCAGCTTAAGATATATCGTTTGGCAGAGAATTTAACAGAAGTTCAATTTCAAGCTGTACTTTTTCTTGGGACAGATTGTTGCACTGCCTCTCATCCCAACATTAGCAGCATCTGTGATATATTCAGTCAAATAGGAAAACATCACCAAAAAAAGCAGAAACCAACCAAATATTCTATGTAGTGAACATTCTCCGTGGCACCAAATGACAGGTTACAGGTACTTAATTTTAATTATGTGGGTTCTTAGTTGGTTAATCATTTAACTGAGGATGTTGTACTCTACTACATCAATGTAACAATTATTTTGGTCCCTGCTAATTGTCTTTCTAAGATTTAGTTTAATAGTTTGATCTATTTATCCCCTTTCACCTATTTACAGAATATCCAATGAAATTTATTTGAAGCTGCAACATCTCTTATCACATAACACAACGGCGTCATCTCCACGCTTGCAGCAAAGACGGTACCAAAAAAATCAAAGCAGGTCCCATAAGAAAAAACTGTGAAAAAGACTACAAGTGATGCATTTTCCACTGGAAATGAGCATCAACAAAGTAATGCAGTATTATTGTTGTGGCGGTATTGAATTGACAAAGCAGTATGCAGGTAGAATGGGAATTGCAAGATAAATGTCAAGAACAAAACCACAAACATTATATACTCATCTCTAGCAACTTTTAATAAGATAAACTAGTAATATGATAGAAGCGAGTTGTATTTTGTAGTACTGTACGGAAAAAATGATATATATGAATTCTTACTCTTCAACTCAATGTCATTGTTTATTTTGTTATCTTACACTATTATTTGGTTCATTGATGTATTTCTTCATTTATTGTTTACTAACCTCTTCGAATGACGTTTTCGAGCGTGCAAGGACCCTTTCATTTTGGGGTGTGCTATCTACACACTCTAAATTACTTCTTACATACCTTTTGTTAATTTATATCTGTTGATTTTCTTCAATTTATCCGATCCGACGACCGAAAATTAAAAACGTATGTAAAAAGTAAAATTGGATGTGTAGTTATCACACATTTTCTTTTATCACGCATTTTATACAGAACTTAATTATGTTCTATTTCCTTTTTATTTGCAACTATAGGTGCAATTTTATTTTTAGGACTCTGCCACTAGCAGCCAGCCATGACTTAAAAGAAAAGCTTTTTGGGTCAATGCATGGGAACACGACCCATTTTATAATTGTTTGTGAATCTTGCTGGAAGTAGATAGGAAGGACCCCATACAACCTTTTGTTTTAATCTCTGCCACTAGCGGTCGGCCATGATTTAAAGAAAGACTTTGGGTCAAGCATGGGAACAACCCTTTTTAAAAAGCATGGGAACAACCCTTTTTATAATTGTTTGTAAATTTTCCAGTAGATAGGAATAACCCAATTAAATATCCCCTGCAAAGAGACATTTGCATTGCATCTAGCAAAGACCAGTTTTTGTGGTTTGAACATCAATCCACATCAATGGCTGTGACAACATCTCAAGGAACCTCCTCTGATTCCAAAAAATTTCGGGGTTACCGATACGACGTGTTCTTGAGCTTCAGAGGCGAAGACACTCGCAAGACTTTTACCGACCACCTCTACACAGCCTTGAACAACGCAGGATTTCTCACGTTCCGAGACGACGATGAACTTGAGAGAGGAGAAGATATAAAGCCAGGACTGCTGAAAGCGATCCAGCTGTCACGAACTTCTGTTGTCGTGTTTTCGAAAGATTACGCGTCATCCAAGTGGTGTCTTGATGAGCTTGTGCTGATCCTTGAACGGAAGAAGACCACCTCGGACCATGTAGTTTTACCAGTCTTCTACGATGTTGATCCGTCCCACGTGAGGAAGCAGACAGGAAGTGTTGGAAAAGCATTTGCTAGAAGCCAGAAAAATCAGTCGCCCGAAAAGGTGGAGGGATGGAGGAAGGCACTTGCAGAGATTGCAGATCTAGCAGGCATGGTCTTACAAAATCAAGCTGATGGGTAACTTTCATTTTCTCCATTTCTCTTCTCTTTCTTCAGTTAATTTGATACTATGATCCGTAGGGACCTTGATTTTTATAAGTTTTTATTCAACCTCAGTAGTGAATAATTGTCCCAATTTAGGTCAACTTAAAGAAATCACACTTGGATAAACTTAAGGATTAGTCATTTTCCATGTTGCTTAAAATGTTTCAAAAGCAGGTGTGGAAAAAAGTTGGTATGTACTTTCTGTGCTGTATTCCTTTTAATTCTTTTTTAAGTAAAGGCCATCAACATTTGTTTGATTTATTAATTATCTAAATTCCCCAATTCATTATTCATTCATCCAATACATCTGTGAGACATAACATGTTTGATTTATTTTTCATTTTGTTTGTAAATTCTTAGGTATGAGTCAAAGTTTATTGAAAAACTTGTTAAAGTGATTGGAGGCAAGTTAAGTCGCACACCATTGAGCGTTGTACCAAAATTAATTGGAGTCGAATCTCAAGTCAAAGACATCAATTTGTGGTTACAAGATGGATCAACCGATGTCGGTATACTAGTTGTGTATGGCATGTCTGGAATAGGGAAGACAGCCATTGCAAAACATGTTTACAATTCAAACTTTAGAAGCTTTGAAGGAAGTAGTTTCATTGAAAATATCAGCGAAACAGCAAATCGACCAAATGGCTTAGTTCAAATACAAAAGCAACTTCTTTATGATATTTTGAACGACAGAGAAGTGAAAATACATGGTGTTAGTGAGGGACTAAGAAAGATTGAAAGAGCCATAAGCTCTAGAAGAGTGCTTCTTGTTCTTGATGATGTGGACCATATGGACCAATTAGATGCAGTACTAGAGATGAAAGATTGGTTTTATCCGGGAAGTAAGATACTTATAACAACTAGGCGTGAAAGGTTGCTAAAGGCACATCAAGTTACAAATGTGCACAAAGTTGGAACTTTGTATTACAATGAGTCTTTAGAGCTTTTTAGTTGGCATGCTTTTCGCCAGGATCATCCCCTTAGAGGTTACATGGAATATTCAAAAAAGGTTGTACACTACTGCGATGGACTTCCATTAGCTCTAAAAGTTTTGGGGTCTTCTTTGTCAGGGGAAAGTATTGATGTATGGGAAAGTGCAGTGGAGAAGCTAAAAGTTATCCCTAATGGTGAAATCATGAATAAACTAAGAATAAGCTATGACAATTTACAAGATGACCATGACCAGGAATTATTCCTCCACATTGCTTGTTTCCTAATAGGAAGGAACAAAAGCCACATTGTTAGAATACTCGATGGATGTGATTTCTGTACAATTGTTGGCATTCAAAATCTCATCGATAAATGCTTGGTGACAGTTGATGGATGCAACAATGTGAAAATGCATGACATGATCCGTGACATGGGAAGAGAAATTGTTCGCCACGAATCAAAAGAGTCTGGAAAACGTAGTAGATTATGGCGCCATAAGGATTCTTTCGAAGTACTGAGGGAAAAGAATGTAAGAAACATGCCTTTTATGTCTATATATGTATTTCTCCTTGTGAAAATTATCCATAATAATGTTTTAACTTTTTCTTTTCTTTTCTGTTAGGGTACACAAACAATTCAAGGTCTTGCCCTGGATATGCGTATGCATCTTGCAAACAAACCAATAAACACAAATGAGACCGTCTTGGAAACCAATGCATTTGAAAGGATGCGCAATTTACAACTACTCCATCTTAGTCATGTACGACTGGATGGATGTTATGCAGATTTCCCTACAAGATTAAGATGGTTGTGTTGGCTTCAATTTCCATTGGATTCTATACCTGTTGATCTTCCTTCGGAGTGTCTAATTGTTCTTGAAATGCAACATAGTAGCTTAAGACAAGTCTGGAAAGGAACAAAAGTATGTTACTCTACGCATTTCAATTCATTTTCCTTATTTTGTTAGTTTTTTATTTGTTGACTAACTCCATTGTTAAAATGAACTCCTATGTTTTCTTTAATTCGATGACTAATTTCTTATGTTAGATACTTATTTCATTGTTTTTTTTTCCTTTTCTTTTTTCCTTTGTTTCCACAGTTTCTTCCATCGTTGAAGATCCTTGACGTCAGCCATTCCCATTCCCTCACTGAAATCATGGACTTCTCACTTTGCCCTAGTCTAGAAGAATTGATTCTTGTTGATTGCACCAGCCTGATTGATGTTCATGAGTCCATTGGAAACCTGGAGAGGCTCGTGTATTTGAATACGAAGGATTGCAAGAATCTTAGGATGCTTCCGAAGAACATGTGCATGCTTAAATCACTTGAAAAACTCATTTTATCTGGCTGCTCAAATCTTGAAGAGTTTCCAGTGGAGATGATGAAAAAGATGGTGTCTCTGAAAGTTCTTGAAATAGATGGAATTCCAATAAGTGAATTGTGGCCAGAAAGAAGTTCAACTATCTTGAGTTCTTTTCCATGCTCTTTACTAGAGTTAAGTCTCATGGGGTGCAATCTTTCTGATGATGCCTTTTGTAGGGATTTAAGTAGTCTATCCTCGTTGCGAAAACTAAAGTTAGGTGAGAATCCAATTTGCAGTCTGCCAAGTTTTATCAAAAGTTTGAGGAGGCTCGATAAACTCTCTTTCAAGGGTTGTAATAGACTCGAATCGCTTGTGGGGTTGCCGAAAGTACACCAAAGGGTGAATATAGTCGGATGCATATCATTAAGAAAAATAACACTTCTTTCCCCTGAGCCACCGTCTGCAACGTACAAGGGGGATGGAGATTGGAATCGAGTTGATTGGCAGTGCGGTTACAACTTAGAGCCTATTGATAGAGTTGATGTGGAAATGATCAAACTTTTGGGCTTGTGCAACTTGGAATCCATGCCTGCAATTCGAATGAACATGCAATTATTCTCACATCCAAAAGTGAGCCCTGTCCAGGTGCGCCTCTCTCTCTCTCTCTCTCTCTCTCTCTCTCTCTCATATCATGTATATAATGGGAAATAAATGACTTACTAATGTTGTGATGATCATGGAAAATGTATAGGGACTGTATGAAGTTGGTATGTTCAGCACATTTTTTGTTGGGAATGAGGTTCCAGGCCGGTTCAGCTATAAAAGTACCAAGTCCTCCATATCTTTTAGTGTCCCTTTACTCCCTTCTAGTCATAGAATCCGAGGCTTGAACATCTTTGCTTCCTATGCAAACGAGGAGAATTCTAATTATAATGATGATGGATGGAAATGGGTTTCAAACATAATCAAAGTGAGTAACAAGAGCAAGGGTCTGAAGTGGATCTATTCCCCATCATTCTATGGTATCCCAGGTGACGGAGAAGATATGATATGGTTGAGCCATTGGAAGATGGAGAACGAAACAATATTACAATGTGGAGATCAAGTGGTGGTTTCAGTAATGACCGGACCAAATAAGTTGTTTCGGATAAAGGAGTTTGGTGTCGAGCTTATGCAAGAGCACCAGAATAATATGATGATAAGTACCCAACACAACACCAAATCAGATCCTAATTATCCATTTGTCATCGGGGGTGATTTGTCCATGTGGGAGCATATACCAAGAATATACTGCCTTGGTTTTGATGGCGAAATTGTTGAAGAGAGATGGTTTAATCGCCTCATCATGGACACTGATGAAGAAGACACAGGTATATCGTACTGTTGTATTGCAATGAATTATACTCCATCCAAACACTTCCAAGTCCGTCTGTATTCAATTCAAAAACATAAATATTATATTATTTGTATGTTTTTCAGACAGAGAAGGGCAAGAGGATGAACTTGATTACACAATTGCAAGGACGAGGGCTACCAGTAACAACTGCAGCCTCAGAGGCTGGAAGGTGCTCGTCACAGCTGCCGGATTATTTTTCACGCTTGCTCTAGTAGTTCGGTCCTCCATCTCCCAGAAAAAGAAGCGACAATAGTCCACAAGTCATCCATGAGTTTGTAATTTTATTCGATACAGACATCTTTGGGTATACCAGGCAAGAATCAATTCATTGAATTGGGGGAAAATATTTCTGTAAATGTCAAATTTACAGATATTAATTGTCATTTACAACAAAATCATACATCTTAAAGACTCGGCTCCCATTGAAAAATTGTGTAAATTACATAAATATCAGTGCAACAGATATTATATTGAATAATATATCAAATAAATTAACAGCAGACAATTTCTTAGCCTGAGATTCAAGGACTATACAGCTGATTCAGCCTTGCATCGCTACTACACTACGGAAGCTGGTTTCTGCTTCTTCAACCCGAACAAATTATTGAGGTTAGAAAGCATAGGAGAAATGACCATGGTCTCTGGAGCCATGAAATTTACTATCTTCTCATAAACATTATACCTACAAAAGCATAATGCAATAAGCCTTAAACAATCTAGCCTAGTTTGCTCAACATATGCTCCAAGATATTCCAAAACAAAATCACAGCAGTTTCACATAGGGAACCAAAGAATCTATTTTGCGACCATTAGAGGCTCTTCTGTCAACAATCTTCCTCTTCTTAGCATGCAACTTTTTCAAGGAATAAAATGATGTCTCAGCGGATAATCAAATAGTGAAAAATCAGAATCAATAAACAATAGAAGTTCAGGATCCATTAGGTTGTGATTGTTAGCAGGAATAACTGCTAGCTTGTTCCATTTTTAATGTTACAAAAACATAAAAACTTGAAGAATAGAAGTTCGGGATTGATTAGGTTCCAAGCCTACTATAAGCAAAGACTCTACAATGTCATTGACTTCCATAGCTGCAGATGCAGATTGTTTGAATGATCTCATGGCTCTGACTTAGTTACTTAAAGTTGGGACTGGCGTGACCTCATTGAGAACTAAGCACAGACTTCACTACAATTCAGCAGACCCAAAGCTGATGTGAGAAGATTTACGTTAACAATTGAGTCGGTCCAAGCTCAACCTCGATGCTTTGTGTTTTGGGATACGGTTAGGCAAGGCTGAGCTCAATCCATTCTTCTTGATTAACACTCTTACACTCTTAATGATAACTTAGTACCAGCTTAATCTGACTAATTATAGTAACCATTGTAGTGGAACTTTTGAAATTTGGGGAACCCTCACAATCATATGAAATCGAGGAAACTTGAAGCATTTCCTTTAAGTTTGATTTGATAAAATTAAACTCTATCTCAGCTAATAGTACAGTTATAAGCTAAACACACTTTATGAGAATTTAAACGGTTATTAAAAACTTCAAACACAAAATGTAATACACAAAGCATATACAAATCTTTCACATATCGACAATTCTTATCGTGCGGAAAATGATGGATTATGCACAACAATGGAAAGCCAAATTGTATTACAAAATAACTATAATAGTTTGATAAATGTAGTTTGCTCACACTATCCATTGCTTGAACAAAGGGCGGGTTCTTCTCAAGTAAAGCCTGTAGTTTGCACACACTAACTAGGTCAGAATACGTTGCATTGACAGCCTCAAGTGAATCACAAAATAAAGACCTAATTGGCTCATGCAAACAACCTCTCAGGTAAGAACGTAAATCTTAACATGTCAAAAATCTAAAAAAAAAAGGGGAAATGCAAAAGAAACCTGTGGTAATCCATGATTCCATGTGAACTTGAGAATGCTTTCTAAAGCAAGAATCTGAACTCAAGAGCTTTGTCCCACAGAGCCTTCAGAAAAATGAAAACAAAAGGGATAGAAAATGGGTACGAATATACATCAATCAGACAATAATTCACTACATAAATAATTTTTTTAACTTTAAGGATTGGCAAAAAAAGAAGCTTTAAACAAGGAGCAATAATTTGATGTTGAAAAACAAAACCTATTTCATGGATATTACAAGAGTTATTATTTTGAACAACGTACCTTTTGGTTCTTCACCACTTGACCCTTAAGAAGATCTTTCTTTAAAAAACAAAATTAACTTCATATGTAAGCCTATATAACTCCATTTTGTGCTTTCATAGTAACTAAATTAAATAGATACTGGAAATTAGCCTTGAGCTAAGATGAAAATGGCACTAGTATATTCCTATGGCTACACTCGCGTACTATTTACATTATCAAATTTCGTCACCAACCTCCGACTCCTATGCATATTTAGCCCCTGCAAATATGACTGATATGCATATTATTCTATGTCTTCATTCTAATGAAACATCACAAGTTTATAATTAAAAATAAAAGGATTGTGAACAGAAGTCTCTTACTGCTCCTGATGACGAAGATTCATGTATTCTTTCTCGAGTTCTTCCATCTCGGCATCTTTATTATCATTTTGCCCATCGCCATTTTCCTCTTCCCCAACTTCTTCTCCATCTTCTTCTTCATTTTCTGATTCTTCTTCCTCCTCCTCGCCGTCGTGCTCATCATCAAAGTCATCCTCTTCCTGCTCGATCTACATCACAAATCATCAATTAACAACAAAATCACCACAACAAACTGAATAATTACCGAAACCCAATAACAGAATTTACATATCAAACTAATATTCAACTCATTGCTGTTGAAATCGCCACTGTCCCCGAACTCACTGTCACTGTCAAGAGCCTTCATCTCCATTGTGACGTATGAGCCCCTACAAATTCAAACACCCAAATATTATAGAATTTAATTCCACAAGGATTTAACCTTTGATACAACTTCATTTCAAATATCCAAACCAATTTACGAATCTCAAACCTTTTGAAGCTGCAAGGAGAAAAATGACGACGAGAGTTGAGAGAGGCACAAAGGAGTCTGAGAAGAAGCCGCAAAGTAGGCGTGGTTCGGTATGGGATCCCATACCAAAACTCTTGTATCGATTCCTAAACTGAAATTTTTGGGAATCCAATTTCAATACCGATCCCAAATCAAATTTTCAGGAATCCCGAAATAGTTTTGGAATTTCGGGACAAATCGGGAATCCCGAAATGGTTTTGGACTTTTGGATAAAAATTTGATATATTATGCTTTTGGGCTAAAATTCAACCTTTTATATTGAAAAATTGACATATAGGCAGACCCAATCCACCTATTTGTTTCTACTAATCTGTCAATCTGCACAATCTGCCTTTTCAAAAGCAATGTGCCAATCTGACAATCTTTCCTGCAAGAAATCTCCATGTGGTGCTGAGTACGAGTAGCATGAAAGTCTCAAGAACCAACACCTGCTCTTTAAACAAAACAAATAACAGAAAAAAGATAACTCTCTAGACTTGATGCAGTAGATAGATGCCCATGAAGAATACTAAAATCAAATTCTATTCTATAAACAACCCAGCTCCTCAATGGAAACAACCTTGAAACACTCATATTCTCTATAATTGTCGTTGAAGCACAACTTCAGATGTCAATAATTAATAAAGTACCACTTATTGAACAATTTCTATAAATTACCAGATGTTAAAGAATAAAATCAAACGAAACAACCAACTATGCAAAACACACAATCTCAACATAACCAAATATGCCTGAGGTGGGTTGTGGAAGGCCGAGGAAGAAGTGAACTCTGCAAACAAAATTAATTCCAAATCCTAAATTAAATTTCAAAAGGAAGACAGAAATTAGATTTCAAAACACTAAATTAAATTAATTACCAAATTATATTTCATAACGAACTGTTCAAATCAAGGTTTCTTTTCTTGTTCTAAATAGTAAAAGAAATCATGATTTCACACCAGAAAGGATAAATCATACACGATTCATATTGGAGATGCATTCGCATAGCCTATAAGAATATATACATAACCATAATCGGTTGAAAAGAACGAATGGGGTACCTCGCTAAAATCCATATAAATGAATTCAAGTAGACAATCAAGATAATTGATTTCTATAAAGAGAAACCATCAAAGCTCACAACTAACTAGTAGAAGACAAGGATCCTATTAAAGAAATGATAAAGACTTGCCTAAAATAGGAGTGGCAGATTGTCGGATGTATCACAAGCCAATTTTATAACAGTTTCCCTCCAATCTCTCAACTATGGCTAGATGTCTTTTATTTGTGGGTTTGGAATACAATTGACCTAGTACGCTTGTTTCATATTAATCTTTCTTGCATTCAACACACAACATCATAGTTTTCATAAAGTGAGCACCACATATAGGGGTTGTAGACATGCTCGAAATAATTTGAATTAAGCTCAGCTTTTTAGTGAAATGAGTTGAGCTAAAAAAATTGCTAGACGCGTTCAAAAAAAAAAAAAAAAAAATTGCTAGACTCGTTAAAAAAAAAAGAGTCAACATGGAGTTTTGGTATTACAGGCCAATCCCCAATTTTATGCATTTAAGTGGATCACCCTCATCTTAACCCAGGAGTTAAATTTCGCTGACAGCCTTCACACTTGGGATACACTTTCAAGTGATCTGAGGGTCCTCAGGTAGTATTATATCCTTTTGGACTGTATAGACTGTCTGTTTTCAAGGCATGAAATGCAAAAAAAAATTGGCTTTTGGTTTTCGCCTCCTAAATTATCTGAGCGATTGATTACAATAATGTGTGTAGTACATAGTATTTTTAAGCCCGAGAACTAAATTATTAATGTATACAAATTTTCTTATAAGAAAACTTTCTGCATGTTTTCTCACTCTTCTTAGTTTATGATTGAATTTTATACTCCTTTCATTCATTAATTTATGAAATGGGTTGTTTTTCTTTTGTGATTTCAGTAGTTAGGTCTTCAGTGATTGCACAATTTCATGGGATTTTACTATCTCAGAAGTAATTGAAAGAGTTGGATGTGATTCGGGCAAGTTTGCAGATATCCATTTTGTTTTGATTCGGGCACCTTCTACCAAACTGTATAGAACATAAAAAAATTATTTGATTGCGTTGTTATGTATTTCTTTTTTTATTTTTATGGCAGTATCATTTTCTCAACAAAATAGAAATTACTTAAATAAATAAACTACTCAAGCAATGAATCTTCAATGAGAACTCCATATTTTCTCAGGCTGGACAAAACCAGCAGGTGTTTCTTCACAAAATTTACATGCCCATCTCTTAGATGGACATAAAGAACATCAATTGTGTGTGTCTTACTTTTTTTGGTTTAACTATAAGTTATGATTTTTGATACCGTAATGAGTTTTTTCTCATAATGCATATGAAGACCCTTGCCTCTATTGGTTGTGTGTTTGAAGCCAGAAAAACTCATATGTTGCTTTTGCAGTTTGATTAGTAGTTGTTAATTAGAATTGGCTAATTCTTTTACTAAGAATTTGTTTTTACTCACTCTATTGGTTCTTCTTCATATAAGTATATAGAAATTGTATGACAACCCGTTTCAAATTTTACGTTTTTATTTTATTTTAAAAGCGTGAGTTTACGAAAATGCCCTAGAAGCAAAGATTTTGACTTCCGTTGACCATCGTCTAGAGAGACGTATGACTTATTCTTTTAACATATCCTCGTAGTACTCGTTGGTGTGAGCGCATAGGTGAAAGCCGTTTGCGAGTCCAGATTATAACGGTATAGTTATGGACGTTTGAAAATGGTTATTTAAAGTTTAGTTATAAATTATTTGAATTCCCACCTTGTGGGAAAGTGGCCAATCAGATTTTAGGCACAAATATGAAGGACTAATCAAGTATAAGGTCAAGAAACCAATTGGAATTAGAGGGAGAGGATGAGAGCCAATCAGAAAAAATAAAAATAAAAATAAAAATGGGAAAGCTTCCCGTGCACCTATGCCCAACCCTGTGTGACTACCCATTTTCCAAGGCCGATTCCGGCCAACTCCGATGGATTTTTTCGACGCCACCACCACCATCTTGGAGCTCTCATTCCCCCTTACAAAATCCACCCAAGAAACACTTTGATTAATCTCTGTATGTGGCGGTTTGAGGCCACGAAAGTTGATGGTTCTCACGGTGCCCCCGCCATCCTTTTTTATTTTCCGGCAAAACGGCAAAGCGATGACCAATGCCACCACTTGGGCTTTGTAGCCCATCATTTGAGGAGAAAATCCCAACCAACCTTGACCCCATTGGTCCACCATAGACGACGAATCGATGCCGGGAAGTTTTTGTTCACCGCCGGCTTCGTGGGCAAAATTGATGATCTTCCGTCCACTTTTGGACTTCGTGACAGGTATGAAAGTTGCTCCACTCACTGAGATCTTCATTTCTGTGAAGTTTGAGAATTTTAGAAAATAGTTGGAGGGGGCCGACCGCCACCCATGGCGGCGCGTGTGGTGGTGCGTGGCCAGTGGGCCGCCAATGCTATTTTTAGGCTATGTTAATTGTCTTGAATTCAGTTTTGATATTTGAATGATGTAGGTTGATCATTGGAAACTAAATTCTATACGATACGTTATTAGATATTTATGTGAATCGACGATCCGATCGTTGGATCGTCACCAACCTTTATTACATTGTAGTACGTAATATTTGAAGAATGTAGGAACTTACGGATTAGGACTCTAACGTACGGATCTTCCCGAATTGGATTTGTAAGTTAATAAAATAAAACTTTAACCGCTAATCAGTTTTGGAAATTGGCGGAGATCCGACCATTGGATAGTAATGAATTTTGAGTATGTTATTCTAGAAACATTACGTGGATCTTTGGAAGTTATGGATTGGAAATTGAATATGCGGATCCTCCGGATCGAGTTATACAGGGTTGTAGACCCTACTGTCGATCTTTGATCGACAGTTGACTTGTGGTCAATGAATCTCAAACTGTTTTAGAATGTACTTGAGGCTGTGCCTTATGTGAATTATGTATTCTATTGCTAAGAGTTTTGAGATGTGATTCGATATTTGTTATAGGCGCCAATCGTTTGGGACACCTCGACGTGCCTGCTAGTGAATCATAGTGTGGACTACAGGTAAGTAGATCTTTTCCTTCTTGTCATATGTATATAATTGATAGTTCCGCAAATGTTTCTAAATTGATTTATGCATGTCACATACAAATAATTTTTGTGAACTACGAATGGCTTGATCCCCGTTTAAGGTACATAGGCAGTCTAACGAGACGTTGGATACAGCCGTATAATAAATGAGACTAAATAATTGGGACAATAGCCTTGTTGGGGAATTGAGCAATGTGAGGGAGATTGGTGCAAAATATGAGATTTAACCTTATGATTTGGTGGTTAAATGTTGGTCATAAATCAATGTGTGAAGAACCAAGAAATTGAAGTAAGGAAACGTAAGTATTGATAGTTAATTAAACTAGTGTCTAGGTGGGCTTATCACTGATAATTATTCCCGAAAATATGTAGTTCGGGAGTAGGGTGTTACAGCTTATGCATTTTTATGCCATATATATGTATATAATTGAAAATGCTATGACATGGTTGAGTATTAGATTGCAACATGGTATATCCATATGTATATTACCTACACATAATTATTGTGAACGCTTTGAAGTGCAAAGGTGAAAGCAGGACAACCAGGTAAGTT